CCCCCCACCCACCCATCTAAAAACAGAGCCCGAATGAATTCCTCCTACACTTAGTAATGCGTTTAATTTTATCCTGTTAGAGAGAGAAAGAGGACATTTGATGTTTAGAATCCCAGTTCCCTCTGAAATTTCAATGCATTCCATAGTTGAGATCTCGAAGCGCCATTTATCAATCATCTTTGCTTTCCTTTCCACCTACTATCTCTTCCCCCCTCCCTCGCTCATTTTTTTCACTTAAACTTCGGTTGTATCTTTATTAGTCGAGTAACATTATTTCTATGTAAACGTATGCTGCTATTGAATGTTCCTATAAAAAAAAATAAGAATGAACTTTTGCGTATTCTCAAAAAATATTTTGTTTTAAGAAAAATAAGGTTCTAATTATGGATTTCAGACAAGAGGTAAAGAAATAATTCTGAACTGGATATCCTACTGAGTGCCTCCTGCAAGGTTCTTAAACATTTATTTATATCAAATGGCAGGCGTCTTGATGGTTATCATTAGCCCTTTAGTTGACTTCAGGCTTCACGGAGAGGAAGGAACATCAAATTGAAAAAAGTCGAGAGGGGGGGAACAGAAGAGTGTTTCAAATATGTAAGAGACAAACACAAGGGTAGAAAAAAGGTGAGGTGAGTACTGTGCAAATAGTCGAATATGGCAGAGTGAAGTGATGGTAGTTTGAAGTCAGAAGTCAACTGCCGGTCAGTTGACTTTTTGCCGTATGAATATACGTTGCCCAGGGTGCACCACGTGGAGGTAAGTCTATCACACACCCCTCTTACTTAAACATAGTTTTAATCTTGCCTGGTAGGGTTGGACTGTGAACTAGTTTGCCAATTGTGGCTGTGTCATGATAAGACAAATACTTAATTTGATTTAGTATACGATCTTTACCTCGCTTTTTTTTACAAGGAAAATAAATTTAATTGGTAAGCAAGCATTTGCGAATTCGAAGAAAGGTTGACTTTATGATGCAATCGAGAACCCACTTGATTCCATGATGCTTTCAAGCCGACTTTGATTTAACTAAAATGTGGAAAATAGCATTATACATAATATTAGAACGGATATTTATTTTAATATAAGAACACATTTAATGATCACCCATTAACTTTCATCGCCTTTATTCAATCAAATTATAGTACCTACTCAAATGATAGTGAAATGATTTAACATAGGAAATGAACTTAAAACGAGTAATTAAAGAAGGAAACATTTCGTTATGTAAGCCTTATTCCTTAGTTGGTGATAGAATAATAATATCTACTTAAAATGACTCTCACGAATTTTATTGATTTTTAGAATTCCTTGTAGTTGCCGCCATTCCTAAGTTCGATACGTAACCAAGCGCATTATCGCATATTACCGATTTTAGGGTGTGAAAATTTATTTTATAATCGATTCTTGTAAGTGTACATTTATTCCTATTAATTCGCTCTAATAATTAGTGAAAGATATTGCGGTTTGCGATACTATGAATGCCTTGATGAATATCTAAAACACTAGTATAAACCCACAATTGAGCAATTGTATTCTTTTTTTTAAACTTTGATTAGTAAAGCATAACTATAACATATTATTTTATGACATCGTCATTTCTGGCCTTTTGCTTATAATAAAATGCGAAAATGCCAAAAAACCCGCAGAATAATTTTCACAAGTTTGCGCGACTGGCAAGGTTGCTTAGATGGTATTCCAGGATCAGATTAGCAGTGCGAAATTCAATCTTAATGCAAACTTTATACTTTAAAATGGCTTAGAAAGTCTACATTACCGGCGGGTAGACAGGATTTACAACTCTTGTTAAATTAGGACGGAGTGTTGGGCATGATAGGTAACTCTGTATTGAAGTTGGAAATCAATATATATAAGTCGGATAAAGTACAATCCCATTGTTACCCTGCCTTTTAACCTATAGGACACTATTCGATCTTACTATCTCGCTTTTGACCTTGAACTTGTGCCCAAGCAACAGTATTTGCATTAATAATATTGTTCGCCAGTGTCGTAATTATAAATGTGGGCGTAAGCAACCCCAGTGACTGGTGTTACCAACTGTACCCATTAATATTGGTCAAAATAGCCTTAGCAACATCTAGCTCACTAGCAAGGTAGTTTTTGGAATTTTATCCATGTAAAAGTATAGTGCCGTATTATTTTATACTTACGGTAGTTTAACGAACTCCTGCAAATGGCCCATCGGTACACATCCGGGTGGGGTGGATGACCAACCGCCCCGGATATTGCGCGGAGGTAAAATACGAGTCTCCCATAGTAGCAACATCAAGGTACCTTCCCACTACCAAGTCAAGCTCCGTGAAAGCCTCTCCCTATGAGCTTGGGAAATTTTCTACAAGGCTTAATCATTGGATGTCTCCTGCATCTGCAAAATAGCGATAATGCCCGATTCGGGATGAAACTAGAGGTCGAATGGGAAGTTTTAATGAAGTCAACGAAGTTTGCAGTCTCCCTCTATTTGACTTCTGGGATTGGTGAGGTTTCCGCTCTGTTTTCAGAGGTATAACCCGCTTTATACTAACTCTAACTTTATGAGTTGATATTTAGTGAGCACATATTCTTGGCATTTTGAATTTGTTGGTTGATTGATTTGAAGTATTAATTGTTCAGATCACTTTGATCAACTGTCTGCCTTTGAAACCATGGGCATGTAGATGAATTTAGCGGTTCAAATATGGCAGATATCACCGTATTTTACTCCAAATGTTGCGCTATCCGTTAAAGGGAATGAAGGTCATGAAAAAATGGACATATGAAGTTGCCTATAGAGAGTCCCATCACTCCAAGATCCTGTGACTTTGAAGAAGGTGTTGAGGCAGACAGAAAGAGTTCTCTGGGTTGGTATTAAACTGAGGAGGTGAATTTCAATATGCCACCGCTAGATAACCGGGGTAGTGTATGAAATATTTGAGATAAATTACTCTGAGCTTTAACAATTCATAAAAATAAAATATTTTCATGATAACATAAGTCTTATGAATCAAAAATTTTTTTTCATTCTCAAAGATCGAGAAAACTCGAAAGTATCGTACTCTCGTTGGGTCAAGAATCACCCATTATTCGTTCGGCCACTTCAAAGAAGGCTAACGGATGCTTTTGGATCACAGATTTATTGGACCTAGCAACAGCATAGTAGAAACATCACCGAAAATACTACTTCCAAGCAAGTCTGATGGCCAGTGGTTTATTAATCCAGCTGACATTTTCGCATGTTTAATTTGGATGGAATTATGATTTACGATAACGTTTGCACATTCAAGATTAGTCATAAGACGATATTGAGAATCCCTCCTAGTTAGGCCATTAATTAACACAAAACATCCGAAAATTTTTTAATTAATTTACTTTGTGGTTAGTTGTAAGTCTGATTGAAAAATGTGTGAAGATGCGAAATAACATACACTGAAACAGCCGAATCATGAATTGTTTATCCTGTTTTATTCTCTGCAAGTTGGTGTAGGATGGGGGGAGGGGAGTAGCTGTGGGGGGGGGGGAAGTTGGATAGGTGAAGAAAGAGCCTCCTCTTCCCGAATCTCTCTATGATCTATGGGAATTCGTACAACCTAGATTCCAGATAAAGGGCGAAATATGAGACCGTTTGTAAATGGCAATACTTTAATGTGGCCTACCATAAATGGCGTTGAATTGTTTAAAAGCCATAAAACTTTGATCTCTTAAGGCTCATATTCCTTCTTTGTGCATAAGTTTGAGTTTGAATACGCAAAATTATTTAATACAAGGCTTCCGAAATTGCGATTCCAACTATTTTCTATTTCGTTTCTCCAAAAAATAAGAACTTCACCACTATTTTTACTATCAGTGGAACAGTTGAGTAGCGCGGAACGAAATTTAGCTCATTTATTCGAGGTGGATCCATAAAGAGGTTTTTTGTATTCCCAAAAATGCTCTTAACATATGGATTAGAAGTGATAAGTGGGGGGGGGAGTATTTGGCAAAATAAATGTTAATAATTTTTGGTAAACATTAGCCGATTTAAAGATAGATATATATAGCGCAGCATTCATATTATTTGCAATAATCACATGCTTATTCACCTTGTTAAGGCGTGCAAATCAGATAGTAAACAGAATCTCTAATGCAAATTGGGTTCTTTTAAGGTCATTAAACTGACAGCCAATAAAATCTTGATTAACTCGCCCTTCGCTTAAAGGTTATCACTATTCCCATCATGGACTTGAGGGCGATGTCATAGAAACGGGTTAGTACCTTGCCTGAGGGTTAATTAGTAATTCCACCTTCAAAAACGGTCATATAAACTAACTGAACATCCATCTAACTAACCAGCCAATGCGGATCATGCTTTGCACACAATGGTGATGCTTCTATGCGCAGTGCACCACAGCGCACCCTACGGCACACATTTGCAATGCACACGAAGTGTTTACCAGTCCGATCGTGCATATAGCAGGTGCTTTTATTCACTGATTTTATTCGCCGTATTTCGGCGCTAATACTCACAAGTGGGTCTCTCCCTTTACTGTTGTCTTTACCTTCTTTTAAAGCCCTTAAAAACTCATGAAATCGTAACCTTTTAACTTGTTTTCTATTATTTTTACCTTAATACCAGGTTTTAACTTTAAACAACTGTTTTGCCATTGCTTTTAATTCCTATTTACTTTGTCCTCAGCTTATGTGGTATGAGCGAGATGTTCAATGAATTATTGATTATTGATTTCACTGGCCACCGAAGCTTCTATAATTGAGTAAACACAATCAATTGATGAATTTGTGCAGCTCGATAAGTCTGCTACCTTAGCGTCTATACAAACACGCAAATTAGCATGCTAATTCAATTTCTCTATTTGGTGTAATTTAGATTGTGTAATCGTGTTTACGATAGACGTGAATTAATTATAATTGCGAAGTGAAGTAAATTTGATTTTATGTGAAGGCTCTACCTTATTGTTGGAAATAAGTCTTCTTAATGGTAAATTAGTTAAGAGATACCATTTGGTTAGGCGGAAGGGAATTATGTGTTCAATCAAGAAGATTAGAGGATGTACAAAAACCTAATCAACCATCTAGGTGCTGCACTTTCCATTAATTTTAGAAGAATGAGGTAAGTAAGGGAGAAAATCAGCTTGGTTTCTTGCCATTTTGCATAACTGCACCCTCAGAACAATTTATAATTTCGCAATTAATTCGCCAATATGCTAGCCTCTTTTTATTGTAGAAATATTTCATCAATTTTACGAATTATTAATCCTTTTCACTTGCTTATATACCCAACATAGAATAAATGTAATTTTTGTCAACGATGATATATATTTTCTTCAACTCAGAGGAAAATTGGAAGGTATGAGTACTTTAAGTTGATCTTCTCCTAAGGTATGAAGGTTTGATATCGTTTTCATTAATTGGTCAATTTGTAACCTTGAAAACTTACTTTAATTGATTACATCCTTAACAATATTAGGGGGTGTGAAAATCAGCCAGCTTTCAAACTGTTGGAAAGTTATCTTCATGCTACCTGTCTGTACTAACCATTTCCTTGCCAAATCAATGTGAACAAATGGCCACAAGCCTATTTTAGGATTTCAAGTTTGAGGTTTTGATATCGCGACTTTTAGAAATTTCGAAAAAGAACAAGATTCAGTTTTGTTTTGTTATGTGGTACGTCCACCCACGCTGTGGCCGTTAAATAAAGCATGTTTTTCAGGACTGTCTACGACAATGATAAAGAGTATTTGGCATTATTTTACTGCAAGTAATCTTAAACCGATTCGTTTTTCGATATTCGAATGGAAATTTTACTCTCTTTTGCACCTTTCTTAATTAGGCAAATTTTAAATCCATAATACATTTCATGATTTATAGTTGTTTCCATTTCAGAAAATAGCCCAGTTTAAGTAATAGTTACTTTAAGACTCTTATGGTCAAAGTTAACCATACACTGTAGGTTACTAAAAATTATGCAATCTTTTGGTTTTGATCTTCTATATGATGTTTATCCTTTTTTCCTTATATGCAAAATCATTGTGAATAACTTTCATATAAACGAACAGATTGTCCAAAATATGATCATCACTTTTATAAATCATGAAATGTGGTAGTAACAACCATAAGGCTTCTTTCAAAATTCCGGCTCCAATTGCTCAAATTTTGTTGAAACACTTTCAAAGAACCAGTGGCTTCCAGGTTTACAGGAAATTTTCTGGCTTTCCATGTTTCGTAATGGTTTAACGACATACCCTCCCCCCCC